TGTGCAAGTGTATGACGATTGAGTTTAACTACAGTAAGGCAGCCAATGTTTGGAGCACAACAAAGTCAGAAGGAATAGTTTAGACTAAGTTTTATGGAACAGTTCACATTAAATGACGATCTTGTCAAATTATGGTATATTATGTAAAGTATTATGCAATTTAAATAAAGTCTCTCATACATTTTAATACTGTCTTGTATGTTTGTTTTTGTGAGAGTGAATCCTGAAAAATATGCAAAAAAATTAGCAAATTAGCATGCAAATTAGACCGCCATGCTTGCCTCTGAGCCTGGGGAGAACACTGAATTGCTCTAAGCATCTAAATAGTGAAATTAAATGGTTTACAGCACACAAAGTGATATATATATATCAGTATATATAGAAATACATAAAGGATATTTTCCATTGTTGGCGTCTTCTGTTAACATTTTCAGTTGTAAGGTACAACTCTTGATAAGTTCATCTAGTCTATTCTCTTTGGCTTCCAAGTCAAATATTTCTATGGGATAACAAAAATAAATAAGAATTTTAAGTATCTGGGAATCTTCAAGAAGGTGTAAAGTGATAGTTATCTAAATTTAGTGATGTTTTCCCTCTAAGATTCATGCACACACAAGTGACTGCCATCAAGGAGACTGAGGATCTCATTTTTTGACAAGTTATCTTTCTTGAAATACTTGAAAGTGGATGAATTACTACAGTGCTGAAAGAGTTGGCGTAATTTTGCCACATTTTTTTTTTTTGATAGTTTAATGTTTTATCTATATAACCAGACCTTACTTGAATGTTAATCACTTGCCCAAATTAAAACCCTGAGACGCTAATAAGCACTCTCTCAATTCGTATCGTTTTGAAAAGATTTTGCATAGCTTCCCTAAACACTTATTTTATTACTGTGTTTAGAGAGAGTAATTCATATCGCCCCAAAAGAATGGGGGTTCTATTTGTTAAATTGCAAAATGCACTTGTACTCTCACTTGTCTCAAATTTCCCCCATTCTAGCTCAGTATTCAAAAAAAAAAAATTCCATGAAACGAGAAATAGAGAATTTTTTTTCCTGGCTTTATTATAATTTCAAGGCTAAGTAGATTTTCCAGACGCATTTCATGAAATGCGACAATTATATATAATGCCATATGGTTGGATAAACATTTTAGATAGAATTTCATTATCCAATCATTCCATATACCCTTCTCTTTGGAAAAAGCAATTTGTTATAATTGATCAGAACCAGATTTGAAAGTAGGGCATAGAATTATTCGAGTGTTCATCGTGTCCTATTTAAATGAAACAAATACAACCACGTTTAAGGACTGACGTTTCACACATTGAACGTTCTGTTACATTAGTTTTATCTTTAGTAAGATCTCGTTTTCATGGCTTAAAATAATCACAGTTTGGTTCTTAAGAGTGCATTCATGACAACGCAATATTGTGAACATTACCTACTTATAAGGCCTAAAAAAAAAAAGTGGTGTGTTTCCGGTAACCCGAAGCTACCTAAAAATACGTCCTGATCCTAATTTTTTTTCAACATATATAAGATTTTAATTTATTGCACAGTTTAAATTTAAAAAATTTGATGATGACGTTTCGTCTCGTCTCGTCCTGACTTCCGATGGTGTTTGGAAATGTGTGGTCGATGATGCGTCTTTTAGCCAATCAGCGATCGCATACCACATCACGTGCCACCATTTTATCTATTTTTAGATTCCAAAATGGCCGCCTCCAGTGCAAGTGTGGTCGTCGTTTGTGCGATAAAAAATGTATGTTCAAAGCACAATGTTCGGACATCGAGGTCGTTTATTTCTCTAACAACTGAAACCTTTGAGGATTTCGAAGATTTCGTTCTGTGAGTTTGCGTTAGCAGAGAACGAACATGGGCCGTGAACAAAAATCGGAAACACGGACTCGATGTTCAAATCGCCCGTGTCGAGCGTTGTCAATTCTTTTGGAACTAAATTCATAAAGTTCACTTGTGTCCCTGAGCCGGACAGCACGAATGTGTTCAAAACTTGATAAATGCACAGAACCCGCATCGCCAGAGACGAAAAATCAATTCGAAGTACTGATGTCTGCTTCGACTAAGAAAAAGTCTCTACCCTTGATCAAAACCTCAAAGTACGTGTATAAACTATGGCGCTCTTATAACTAACGTTCGGTATTTATTTTTTACCTGTATTCAGGAAATATAAATGAGTTACTTTTAATTTGTAACTGAATTTGGCAATCCCTTAAATTTTAATATAAAGTGCCTACAAATTATTTCGTCCAATTATAAGATTAAGTAGGCTTCGTTATTCCGGGAATTTGACGTATTTGTGTGTACCTATATATATTTGCAAACTTTATTTTAATGTAAAAACGGTGTGTTTTATAGCAATAAATGTTATAAATAGTCTTTTTAATTGATTTTATACAACTGTAAAAAAATAGAATAGCATAATTATATATTTTTTATATCCTAAAAACAACACACTTGCAAGTTGTAGGTAAATTTAATATTTGTTTACAGTTCGGACGTGAAGAATGCAGCAGGTATACATTTTGTATCAAGGAACGATGAGCTGCATGCACCAGTGAAGGTATCTCCCATGCTGCATAAGACCCTATGAAAAATAAATGAACATTGAACATCTTTGAAACTTGTCTTTTTTTCACATTCTATTTAGTTGGCCTCAGTTGAACTAGGTATCAACAATTGTCCTCAATGGCTGTTTTTGAATTCTGAGATCAACAAGATCCATTGAGTATGATACTTGATATCTTGGTGGTGTCAGTAATTTGAAACTAACTAATATCAGTTGCCAATGTGAGCAATTTTGACCAATATAAAGATTTATCATCTCAAAATATAAATTCAAATAATATTTGGGTATTGAATAAAGACCCAAATATATTCATGCTAATTATATTTTTTCAGCAAATTGTATTTCAACTTGTTGAAATTGTTTGAATGCAAAAAAAAAGATTAATAAAAAAAAAGTAATCCGACCTACCCTACCTATTTTTTTCTAGCCCGTTACCTGAAACACACCTTCTTTTTTTTTAGGCCTAATGAAACATTGAGTAAACCCAGAAAAGTAAAACGTTCCAACTGGCAAAATTTAAATAGTACATCAAGTAACGTATGCATCATTTTCGTACCTGCGTTCAAGTCCACAGAGCTCGCACAAACAGATCCTTCTTGACCATTGGATGCAATTGAATTACTAGAGCCCCTGTCAAAAGAAAAACAATTTTAAGAATAAAATCAACCACAAAGTAATTGCAAAACTGTAGCTCTCGTAAAACCCAGATCAGTAAATCAATTCTTTGCTTGAGTAACAAATGAAATTGTTTTGTCATTTTCTCGTGTTGATGACATTAGTTTCAGACAGATCAACCCTCTTGTCCCAATTCCTGTGCATTCTTGATCTTTCCCTACCCACTATTGTTCGCATAAAAACAACTTCTGTATTAGAAGCACACAAAAAATGATGTATTCTTTGCCGAATCAGCAAAATGGAATTTACGACTCTTTATGGCCATCATTCATGCATGCTATGCTAAACTGTAAATAGTTTCATTTTGGTAATTTTCCTGACAATATTTTTCATGACATTCGCAAAGACAATTTTTACTGCTTCAAAATTTCTTGATTTACACTGATGTTTATTAACTCCAAATTCTGACCCCCCCCCAAAAAAACAAATATTTAAACGAGGTGAAAAGGACAATGACCTGTGACACATGGCCAAAGAATGCAGTTCAGAAAAGAGGGTGCAATCCCTCATGCGGAGCTAAGGAGGCTGCAAGCATTGCTTGTTCACAGACTCTCGCATATATCGGTAATTGCACCAATAAAGTATCGTCTTTTACAGTCTCAAGTATTCCCGTCGCCGACACTGACTAATGTGAAAAGACTCCCATTTTATTGGTCTACCTGCACCCCAAACTTTAACCTAAAAAGGTTGAATCAACACACTTTTTGAAAGCCAAGACAATGTATTTAATGTGCATGCGCTAATTCACAAGTATTGTATTTGCCTTGTTATGGCATTGCGAGAAACTGCACCCATCAAAGGTTCATTTATTCATGATATGCAAATTTATTTGATGTTCTACAACAAGTTTAAAGGCTGAATCATGTGATCCGGCTCGCTGCTAAATGATCCTGGTGAATTGGTAGTGTATTTCCGGTTTGTATATTTTGATCTAATGTGGTCAAGTATACAGAGTAATGATCGTAATTGGGGCATAATGTCACTGCTGTAATATTCAGTGTCTTGTAATCAAAATAATTGCTGGTACTTAATTTTCATTTAAAATTACAGAATGAATTGACGTGTATATTTAACTTTCAAAAGATTTGTCAGAAACTACATGCAAACTATAGAGGAAAACATACTGCAATCATAGAATATATTGAGAAATTCTACTATCAGCAAAAATAAATTCTAAGTAAACACTAAGTATTAATTTGTGAGAACATCTTCCTCAATAAATATAACCACCCCTGGGGAAAAAAACTATTGAAATTTAAATTCACAGAGTGAAATAAACAACACAGTTAATGCGCGTTAGTTTCAGGAAGCAATACATTATTTAACTAGTTTATTCATGTACGCCCCAGTCACAGGTATTGTGAGGCAGTCACTGTATATAACAGAGATGGCACAAAAGGTCAAAGAAGACAATGGTGCTTCCCACACATCCCCATGTCCTAACATAAAGAAAACGGTCATTTAAAAGTCAGTCTAGCCTATCAACCCTCTTGTTGAAAAGAAAAAGGTATGTGATCAGTCAACACAAAAAGGAAATGTAAAATATTGCAGCACAAAACTCTTTAGCTAGTTTTGGGTACAGGTTTAAGATCCCCAAAAATAAACTGGTTTTGATAATATGCACTTCAAAGACGGGTAAGATCTGATTGTTTTTATTTGCTTGATGATTACTCAATTAAACCCAGGTTTAACGGTGTTTACAGTCAAGTCTTCCCAATTAAGTTTCAGTTGTCACAACAAAATTGAGGGTACGGCTATTTGGATCACACAAATTATTTTATTTAGCCTTACTGGAATGTAGAATAGCAATTAAGTTAAACAATTAGATGCAAGAATCATGAACACAGAAGACAGCAAAACACCCCTGTAGTCATTTTCGTCAGTTCGCCGAGGAGCTGATAAAACCTAATTTATAAAACTCTAAAATATCAAATTTTACGTACTTCCATTCAATGTTATTTTTCGCTTTTTTGGCAATAAGATTAATTCCTTCTAATACATTGGTAATATCGTAAATACGTCTTTTTTGCACTTCTAACACCTCTGCGGCATAGTTCAAGTCTAAAACACCCTCGGGAGCACTGCGTAGTAATCCAACAAACTTCTTGGTTAGCAGGCCGAGCGATGTATCATAGCGAGTCCTCTCAGCTGGCGACTGAGCTGGAAATAAGCAAAAACGGAAAAATTGAAGTCTGAGATTAACTAGCCATGTACACGTTTTCTTGCAACTGATAAGCACAACCAGCATTACCTGAGATTTCGGTATGTGAAAAGTCTTAATGGATGGGGGTAAAAAAAAAATTAAAAGCTCTACCAGGCTAACAGGTGTATTTCAGCATAAATTGTATGAGCATATGCAAATTTGTATAACACACCAAAGGTCAGAAAACTGGAGCGCAAGGAGGTTATAACAAATACCTGTACAATTAGACAAGCACCGACACTTCCACTGGCGTGATTGGTAGAAATTTCTTTATTCAAGGTGTGCTTTATTGAGTACATCTGATACAATACAATGTCCTGAAATATCCGAACCGTGTGACATACAAGAATGCCTGTTATTGTATTTGAGCAACATGCATGTTTTGTTTTTTTTAACCGCACGAATAACAAACTGGTATTTCACCTGATCCCTTAGGGCTGGGCCGGGGCTTCTTTCTTCCGCCACGGGGACTTTTAAATCCATCGTCTAACATGGCTGCCGTAGCATCCAAATCCAACTTCCTCTTTGCCTGCAGGAGAGAAAAATTATCATAATTTATTAATTATTCAATGAATAATGTAAATGACCTATATCCTGTTCTAGAATCTATGGAATGTGCTTGGTTGTCGCCTTGCATCTGTTGAACCCCAACTGTTGACTATAGAATAGATAATTTGAAAATGATGAGAAATTAATTTATCCCAAAAAAAATTATTTGTATGCATTTTCTATAACGTTTTGGTAATTTAAACCCAATGGACAATTTCCCATTACCTCCAGGGTTTGGAAAAAATGTGTATATAAAAAAAAATTGTGGAGAGGAGTTCAAGGGAGACAAATAAAAACAGAAATTCTATCAATGACTTCTTCATAATCAAATTAGCTTTCAGGGACACAAGAGAAGGAAAACAGATTTAAGGTAAAAACAAAAAAATATTGTGATTTATGTTAATTAATATTATTTGCAGCACTGTATACAATGTACAAATCTAGTTTGCACCTTGTTACACTGGATTTTATCCACAGAGCATTCAGATTCTAGTAACACAATGAGAAAATAGCTGCCATGTTTTAGCATTGATTTACTGAGGACAGTTGGTTATAAAGCGGTGACCTTTCGGTTTTAAATAACCAAAAACCAGTCAGCACAGCAGTCAAACTGATTCATAGCCTATATGGGGTCAAATGACTGACATGCCAAGTTGTATAATAGATAACCTAAATTTTTAGTGAAAAGACTAGAGGTGAGTGATTTGAGTGATGGTGCATGTGTACTGTGAATGCATTTATTCATTGAGTTTTAATTTCGCTGATAAAATCCGCTAAATTAAATCATGAACATGTAAAATCATGCATCTTTGACAAAATGGTGAAATTTAAAAATGCAGTGAATATGCTCAAAACATCAAAATAGTGAAGATAAATGGTTTTACAGTATTCAAGCGAAAAAAATACACTGGGATCCAATCACCCCACTATCATTTGCTTTGATAATACCATCTTCAGATGTCCAAGGTTATGTTCAAAGAATGCAACATGCCCTTTTTACGAATAAACCACATTTGGCAAAGAAGTCATGCACACCATGTAATGATATCTCCACATTAGTATTATCCCTGTATTTATCATAATCTTACTAAATCCATAGAACATTAGTCAGGCGATGGTAAAGTAATATCAAGGTTACTGTGGTTTGTGGAGGTATTCTGTATTGATAATCTGGTATATTCAATATAGTAATACAATGCTAATTGATTTATTCTTAATAGCTTTAAATACTATTTTATTTTGATAAAAAGGTTTAAATCAAAAAAAAAAAAAAGATTCAACAGGGGTTTTGTTTAGAGCCATCTCCTTTCTGGTCCGCCATTCCCCAAGCGCCTATGCCGGCCTCGCACTCTCGTGAGCTTTTTTATTCATTTTTTTGGTCTGTTACAAGATGATGGCCTGCTATTAAATGCATTTGTGAAACCCCCGATTCAAGTGAAGTAGGAGTGTGCAAGATGTGCTCATTTCATAGCGAAATATAATGGAGCTCATTGCAGAGAACTGAAAATAATACATTTCAACATTAAAAAATAAATAGTTTCAATTGACAAAACCAATCATAATAGGGATATAAATATAGATGTAGTTTAAAAAGCATTCTTGATAAAGCTCATGGTCGACGTTTAGCTTACAGCCATGTTACAGCACACACCTCTCAAATTACACGACAAAAATCAATATTTAGAAATGACAAACAAATATATTCACAAAATTTGAGTGGATTATTCGAAATGGAAATCTAATTTTAATTAATATGCTTAAAAAGGAGATTTTTTTTTGTTTTTTCACTTTTGACCGATAAAGCCTCATTACCATACCGCGGGAATTTCTCTCAGAAGTCGACCCCGACCGAGTAAACAGCAGTATAATGGGGCGGTGGCGTGAAATAAACAATCTATTGGCTTACACTGTCCGGCTAACACTGATTGTTTGGCTTTTAAATTTTAGTGCAACAGATAGTGCCAAAATAATTTCAAGTTTGAACATGATTTAAATGTAATTACACGAACGTACGGAAAACCGCGCGAAAATCCCGCATCCTCGTCGCCAGGGAAACAAAGAGTAGCTACGTTATCGCGTTCGACAACAAAGCGCTCTTCACAGACAAAGAGAGAAATAAACATAGCATGTTCCGGCAAGTTTTTTAAATGCCCCGCGAAATAGCGAGATAAAAAAAAAACACGCTGGGTATTTAAAAAAAAAAAGAACTAGATGATTTTCAAAAATACAGAATAACTTTGCCGTATTGGCTTTCTTGCATCCGAACTTCCACGAGAAAGGAGAACTGTCCGATGCAAATTGTGGATGAAACAAAGAATTCCACAACGCAAGTATAAATATACAAAAAAGTTCATGTAATACACGACTCAAAACTGGAAGCATTTAATTTTATATATACAGGTGGGGAATATTCAGCACAAATATTCAAAATAATTATAATGATTTTTTTTTTTACCTGGGGTGGTCTTCCTATCGTCGGCTTGATGACCTTTGTTTGTAGGTCTGGTGTACAGCCGACTTGGCTCAATATTTCCTGGTGCTGCTGCAACGCTTTCACGGTATAAATCGGTTCAAGTTCTTGAATTTGGGTTACGCCTTTGATGGTAATTCCCCTGGAAACCTCTCCATAAGTCGTATTTGCCACAGTTGATTTCGTAATGGTTAGCGTAGGAATTGCCGGTCGACTCACTGTCTGCATTGGCTGTCCTCTAGGCATAATTGCAGCTGTCAAGGGCCTAGTGTTTACAATCAAATAACGCCCCAAATGTTCACTTAGCGGAATCGGAATCAAAAACTAGAGGACAAATACAAAAGAATGGAATCTAAACTTCTGTGGAGTGAATTTCTGGAAACAGACAATTTGTAACAAGTGCGGATGGCGAAGGATTTCGACAGATGGTGGCAGCAAGAAAATGGTTGTACTGTCAACAGCTGCAAGTCTCTGTATCGACTCAGAACATTTCAAGTGTGAAAGCCCGCGAAATCGTATTTCCCGCCAGCTATGATCACGTGCGATATACCCGGCAAATTTAGCAGGGCCCACACTCTGTAAACAATAAGCGGAGATCCCGGCAAGAATACACAATAAACGTGCGAATTAGGAGTATATATGCCGATATGATAAAATGTACACTATTCAAATTCATAAACATAGTTGATTAATTTTAATCACGTGTTACGGTTATTGTTGAATCAATTTTGTCAGATTATATAATAGTTTAACATTGTAATGCAGATGCCCGGGCCGCAGCTACTGTGTCTAATAAATACACATTCACAAAGTCACCTATAGAGTGAATGTATTGACATCGATTGATGTGTTATGCGTACATATGATGGAATATTCTATGAGAGTTTAAATTCTTACAGAATTTCCGTCAAATTTAATCAAATTTCTTAATAGTTTCTGTAATTATATGCTAATATGAAGGTCACCATTAACCAATCAGATTGCACCTTCAAATCCGCCATCTTGGGGAAGGGAAAACCTAAAATGGCGCCTGGGCTGTGGCCGCTTATGTTATATGCGTCCAAAATATCTGGACTGGGAACCGATCAGGTACGTGATAAGTTCCATTATGGTCATATTGACACAGATGAGTATTGACCTGGTTATATTTAGTTGATTTGTCGATAATATTGTACATTTGTCAGCGTATAATGCTAGGTATAATGACTTAGCGACTTGCATGTACACACGCGTAAACAACTTAATTCTTGGCAACCAGTGTGTCCTATCGCGTATCTATCAGGCGATCACGTGTAATGTCATTGACTTGGCATATGTCACTGCAACACATCGTGACTGGGTACAATGTCCTTCCGTGTGTCAAAGATAATTCTCTCTGGCTTAATTTTAAGCTAATCGTCGCGAAACCGAAAGGGGTCAACAAACTTTTTCCATATGTACGCACGTGTATGTGAAGTTAACTAGCGGTGAACGAACTTTACTGACCGTAGACGAGAATGTTCTATTCTGACTTAATTGTATTGTATGTGGTTTAATTTTACCAATGCGCACTCACAGGGCAGTCTCTGTTTACCTTCGTTTTGTTTTTTGTTACGTGACTCCAGCATGGAGCCTTTCAGAAAAAGGGGTGTGGTCAGTTTGTTTGTAAACAAAGCAAAAAAAATGTTTGAAGCTAACAAATAGTTGCTG